CAGTGCCTACTGACCTTGTCATTGAGTGAATGTCCCCTAAACTCTCAGCACCACAAGGCCCAGGAGGGTGTATTATTAGATTATATTAAATTTTTCACTCTTTGAATATGGACGAACACACAAGTAATGAATTAAAATTTGTAGAATGAAAGAATGTTTCGTAAGTACTTTTTAATGCTTTATAAAGATGAGAGTGTTAGTGTTAAGCCTTTTCATACATAAGCCTCCTATAGCCTTACAATCATTATTTTGGTTCATAATTTTTATTTAGTTTGATCTCAGGACATTTGGATCTTGAAATCTTTTTTTACCTTCAAAGGGAAAATTTATGGTCTGCACTACATACAAAATCATGGAACTTTATTTCCTTAGTTTGCATAGCTTTCCTCTAAAGTCTGACAATATATTTTGTAGATTGCTTATTCCTTAACATCTTTTCATCTGTCTCATCCTCTCCATCCCACTGCCCCCATCTCTGGTTAGATACTTCTCATCCATCCCAGAAACACTGTTGGGCAATTGGTCTCATGTTTCCTACGCATGTTGTCAGCATATTTTCTGATAAGTTGCTTTCTTCCTGCTTCTCTTGGATGAAAAAGCCCCTGCATGGTGCTCTGCAGGATCTACTCCAATTGCTAGTGTGGCTCTAACTGTGGCCATGAAATGCCATCAAATAGAGAATTCTAAATCGGGTCCTAGTAAACTGAACTTTTGCTGACAGATTATAACTTGGGTATAACTGGTACATATCCTCCCCACAGCTGATTTTGATAATAGGCTGGGAGAGTCAGGGTGCTCCATCAGTAGTCAGGGGGGCTCATTGGAAGTGAAGGTCAAAGATGCAGGACTGCCCAGGTACCAGTTCTCTTTGTCCTCTAGTCTCAGTTCCCCAAACACTGACCAGCCCACTTACCTTTTCAAAGGCTGGGAAATAACGATTTGTTGTTTTCTCTCTGATCTGGGTCATCTTGGCATCTTTTTCATGGGGTGGGCATAGTGGCAAATGCAGGATCATTTCATTCAAATCTGCCATACTACATATCAACATATCAATCCTGAAAGACAAAAATGACCCAATTGTCAACTGTCACCTGCCTTACATGTTATAGTTTAAAAGAATGGGTTCACTTACCTTTTCAAAGGCTGGGAAATAACGATTTGTTGTTTTCTCTCTGATCTGGGTCATCTTGGCATCTTTTTCATGGGGTGGGCATAGTGGCAAATGCAGGATCATTTCATTCAAATCTGCCATACCTTCTGAATACATATCAATCCTGAAAGACAACCAGTGCATATTCCAGGAGATATGTTTTTAGTGTGCCTCACTGGGCTTCCTATAAGAGGTTTTCCTTTTTAAAAATGACCCAATTGTCAACTGTCACCTGCCTTACACGTTATAGTTTAAAAATGTAAGAGAATGGAGAAACAGGAGAGGGCAACTCTACTGGGTGCATTTTTATATGCCAGTCATTCAGCTGTGATATTCACCAAATTTTAACATTTAATATCAAGGTGGATATCTACGTCTAAAATTTTTGTTATGCCCATGACCAAATATACCGACAGAGAACATCAGTGAGGTGTCCAGAGTCACAGGCGTAGAGAAATGGTGGAGTCATTGCAGGTACCCAGTGAGAAGCTACCTAGGGTTTGCCATCTCTGTTGTGGTTGGTTCTGGGCACAAACTCCATGTGATTCATAAGGCTAGAGGCCTGCCACCTGAGGAATCAGCAGAGAGTCCCTGGTACAGACACCTCAGTCATGTCCCTCTCCCTCTCTCATCCTGTTACACCACCCAGGTCCATTTATATGCCCAATATTAGCAGTTTTTCCAATGAGTTCCCATGGAACACAGTCCCCATCGAACACAGTCCCCATAGAACACAGTCCCCATAGAACACAGTTCCCAACCCTCTCCATGTGCTGTTTCTGAACTTTGGCCATGTTTGCGCTGCTCAAGTCTCCACCTAAAACAGCCCCTGAATTGGTGTGATTCTTTATATACTTCCAACCAGTGCATATTGCAGGAGATATGTTTTTATTGTGCCTCACTGGGCTTCCTATAATAGGTGTTCCTTTTTTAAAAGATAACAATTTTAGATATTTAATTCAAACACCATAATGCCACTTTTTAAATGTACAATTTTGTGATTTTTCATAAATT